GATGTGCTGTCGAGATCGTGAGGGGATTGGACGGCAAATAAATCAGCCTTTAAAAAAAGCAATGCCAAGTGAAGAGTGGATCTGAGATGGCCCTTGCAGGTGGGAGGAAGTGAGTCTTTCTAGTGAAATTTGTCATACAAGATTAGTAGCCTTGCCAAAAACAAGGGCCCTTATGAACAAGTGTGAAGTGGCATATATACTGGCTTTCTGCCACATTTCCACCTCTAGTTTTGTTTTATTGACCACCAAGAAGTCTTTTATTTTGGCCATTCTGTCCTTCATAAACCCAGAAAGTATCCGCCCCCCCCAAAAAAGTTATTGTTTTTCATCAGTATGGTTATTCTAACCTTGGCCCCTTGTTGATGAGAGCACTAAACGGAGAGCAAAAGAGCACATCCAACAGCTGTTCTTGGAAAGGAGCTGAACAAGAGGTATGCCTCCGACAGTTTTCTACAGGAAACTGCCCTATATGGAAGATTTAAAGATTTCCTTAGAATGGTGATGTGGTATTTTCCCTTCACTTAGTGTAGTTGGTTTTAGTAAAAAATAAAAATTTTCACTTGGGTAAAGTTTCAAAGTGAATAAAAAGGGAATATTATTTTAAAGAATGGCACTAACAAAAGGAGCACTAATGAGGTCTGCAAGTACTGTCCTGTTTTGTACCTTTATCAATAACCTGCAGCAGATGATGGCATGCACTCTCTTCAGATTGGCACATGACAGCAAACTAGGAAGATCAGTCAATATGCAAGACGACAAGACTGTCATCCATGAAGGTCTAGATAGGCTGGAGGAATGGATCAAAAGGTAGCTTATGAAATTCAACCAGAAAAAAATCTAATGTTCAGCACTTGGGAAGGTTGATTCCCTTGTGACAGTACGGGTTGGGGTTTGACTGCAGAACAGCTCTGTGGAAGACTCTTAGGAGACACTGTAGACAATAAACTAAACATGAGTCAGCAATGGATCCTGGCAGTGAAGATGGCCAACAGCATGCCAGGGCAGCATTAATAGGAGCATCGGCTGTAGATCAAGCAAAGTGATTATGTGCTTTGCTCAGCACTTGTAGACCACCTATAATGTATTGCATCTAGTTTCAGGTCCTCCATGCACCAGAAAGACTGAAACTTGAATGAGTTGAGCAGACCACAGCCAAGGTGGTCGAGGTCCTGGCACACATGCCTGATGGGAAGATACCGAGATACGAGGCTTAATCAACCTGGAGAAGGATTCTGGGGGGAGGGAGGGCTAACAGCAGCCTTCTGGCATCTATCAGAAAGGTTCAAAAACCTTTTTTTAAAAAAAAAAAAAAAAAAAAAAAAAAAAAGGTTCAGACCGATAAAATTTTTTCAGCATGGGGCCAGTGATGCAGTGAATTAAGTTGTCCAAAGAGGTTTTGCAGTTTCTTGGAGGTTTTCAATAGCAGATTAGGTCATCAGAGTAATCTGATAACCTGAGTAATCAGGTAACCTGAGTAATCAGATCCATCTTCATGACAAACTGTGCTTTGAACAGTATGCTGGATATACTGAGGTCCTTTCTGAATTGAATCAGAATTGAGGTCCTTTCTGAATTGATCTATCATCCTAGATCTTTTAAAACTTATTTTTTTTTTATCCTGGCAAAAGTGGGACTCTGCCCATGTGCTGCTATAAAATTAAAGCAAATCTAGAGTGGTTTAATTATGATTTGCTTCCTACGATTGTACCAGAGCAATGTTGTATCTGCTTCCTGCCATGTGGTGCACTCCACTGGGAGCCAGTGACAGAGCCAGAGAGCATCCTAGCATGCCTAGCAGGATCGTTGGAAAAAAAACATGACAACAAAAGCAAATCATATAACATAACCAACAGGCTATCAGAGAAACCTCATGTGCTTTATCATTGGTAAAATGAAGTCTGAATGGCTTATAGGACAGAGACAAAACCCAGGAATTTATGTTTTGACAAAAAAATAGACTTTTTGGATGTCCTGCTGGCTGATGCCAGACATGCAGTTTGTTGTCTTTCATTCTGCTTCTGCAGGAAGAAAACTTATGCACTCAGGTCACCTGTTTGCCATTAAAGCCTGGTCAAAGGTGGGTGATGTTTGACTGTACTCTCTCTTCCAGCTACTGGCATCATGTTTGCCACCTTCACTTCAGCTTCAAAAACTGGGCAGAACAAATTTGTGTTTTAACTAACAGAACCTGCCATATCAATGCTGATGTTTCAAGGATTAACAGGGACTTCTTTGGCAGAACAAAGCTACAGAAGTGCCATAGTCCAGTGCGTGGCACGTTTGCAACTAAATGTCAATGTTTCAGTGCTAAGAGTTGAGGCATAAAGGTCACTTTTTACCCTCCGTCTGAATGTCTATTGAACGTCAAATGGGCAGTTAAAGAGAAGCATTCAAAACACCGTGAATAGCTGCCTTGTGGATTCATTTTGCAGCAGCCATGCATGTAGAAGCCTAGCCCCAGCAGTGGAAAATCTCACTAATCTATTCTTACCATTGCCAGCAAAGTCTGGCAACTGCCTGCATGTGCTAGATTCATTTAAAAGTGCCTTTTGATGGGTTCAAGGACCAGGACACTGGTAGTTCAAATTAGGTCGTTTTCCCAGAGCTGCCAACCAGCAGAAACTAAGAGGTGGCTCATTATGCAATCATCGTAATTATATACTGACTGTAGGCAGAAACCACCTTCTAAACATAGCCAACACAATCCAGCTTGCACAGTGCTACCTTAGTGCCTGCACATCTCTGCAGGAGCTGCACGCAGCGCGCGCCGGCCCCGCGGCGCTGGCTTCGGCCGCCCCTTTTTGCTGATGCCGAGCACCTCGTCCATGCCGTCGCTTGCACTGCAGTGCAGCACGTGCACACCACCGCCAGCTACCCCAGCCCCTGCCCGCATGCCTGCCAACAGCTGTAGTAGTGAAGACAATGAAAACCAGGTGGAGAAGACTTCGTTGAGAAGAGCCGCTGCACTGCTTGGATCGTGGTCAACCGCTGAAGGCTTCCAAGGCTTCTGTGTCTGTAAAGATTTGCAGGCTCTTGGGTTGTAAGACAACAGGGCATGCCTTAGTCTGCACTGCTCTATTTACAGCATCCTTTCCTTGTTTTTACCCCTGCACATCTCTCATGGAAACTGCATCTGACTCACACTATCAGTCTGATTTATTCCTCCTCACCCCTGACCTGTCTTAAAAGAAAAAAACAAAAACCAAGGCCCATCCCTGGTAACACTCCCTGGACTACAGATTCAGCTGAAAAACTTTCAGTTCTGAAACACTGGAATATAATGAATAATTTTAAAGAAATGCCTGTCAACTACTCATCTGCTTTTGTCCTGATGGTTAGAGGGTGCACAGCATGATTTGGAGTTTTTCACATACACTGGAGCAATCAATGCCTTTCAAAGTTCTCTTCCAAGTTGTTCATCAGATAAGCATGCTGTTCCCTTCTGCAGATGCATTTTCTTTACACTTTTTACAAGCAAGCCAATTAATTATTGAAATGTAGTCAGAATGTGATGCAACAGATTTACATTTTTTAAAGTCTGAAAAGCCATTAATGTTTTTTTTTTCCTTTTAAAGTTCTTATGCTTCTTCCTATATCCCACACTGTTTTCACAACCCTTGGATCTGCTCTCAGTAGTTCTCATGCTTGATTACATAGCGGGTGTGCGAGGAATCCTCTACAGTGACAGAGTGCTGACAGAAGTCTTTTCCAGCTCTGCTGTAAGTAGGAAAACATATTTTCCAGACATAGACCCTCTTTGGAAAACCAGGCTCATCTTTGGTGCACCTTCTTCTGATTTTGCTCAGCACACAATCATGTTGAGATTCTCTCCATTCTTGAGATATCCTAGATGGGATTTTAAAATAAGACCAACATTCTTTTTGTGCCACAAGATCCTCACAAATGCCTGGATCCAGCATTATTCAAGACTCTGTAAAAGCTTTTAGTAATGCATTTGTTTTCTTGGTCTTGCCAACAGGAGATGCGATGTTTCCTGATGCAAACTCCCCTATTCTCAATACTTATTATTTCTTCCCTGATTTCCTGGGCTTGTTTAAAACATAAAAATAGCTAGGCCTTTTAGTATTTTGCCCTTATCTTCCCATGTTTTCTTGTTAGCAGGGAGCAACTGGCACCACTGACAGTTATATAGCGCAGTATCCGTTCACTGATGCTTCCCCAATCCAAGGAAATGTCTGGACCAGGACGACTCTGACCCATGGCTCTTTGCTATCCAGAAGCACTTCCCCTAGGTTTGCAAAATATAGTACATTTGGCCACAGCACAGCTCCCTGCCAAATTAATTCAATGCGAAGAAACAGAAGCAACTATGTGTACTGAAGAAATCAGTTGCTTAATCTCATTTCTGTTATAGGTCCTCACTACCAGGTTTAGGCATAATCATGCCTTTATATTTATTAGCAATGCAGCAGAAACTGCATAGGAAAGCCAAAGAAATATTTTACTTCTGTATGTTTCACTTTTCCCTATTTCTCCCAACAAATAATGCCGTTACCTCTACCGGACTTGAGAATCACTATTTCCTCTGCAGTCACCCCTCAGCATCCAAACATAGACGTCTGGAGTTCAAGAGTAATCCTTAGTAGCATCAATTACCCTCCTATTTCCCTGAAAAACTTTCTGTTTGTGCATCTGAGCTTTTTACATTACTTCTGTTGCCCAAATTCTTCAAAGGAAGGCTCCTCTCGAGGTTATTCACAATAATCCTGACCTAGTTAGAAAATAGGAATTTATTCCCTGCTTGGACAATCAATCCTATGAACACAGATGTTTACTGAAGCTACAATTAGATATGGAAATCATTGCTTAGACAAATTCTTTTGTTAGAGCACATTTTTTAATATTGGAAAAATGAATCACCTCATAATTCAGATTACCAGCGTTTACTTTGGAGAAGTATTCATTCCTGGTTATCTAGGAGATTTTGCAGCTATGTTTAATCTTACTTGCTGAAAATGATAATAAAGTAACAAGTAATAGCCATTTCCTCTACAATAAAACAATGAACATGAGTTTTACCTAACCTTTTACCAGTTGGTAATTGATGAGCTATCAACCAACATAACGGCAGACTGTTCCAGAAGAAAGCCCAAAAATTGCCTTTGGTGACTAAAAGACATTTTTTTTTTCCCCTGGCATGTGTGTGGGGGGGGCAGGGAAGGGAAACCACCACAGAGACATTAAATCATTATAAACAAAAACTGTGTTTAAAACGACAGTGTTGGGGGTGAATGGGGTTGTTCCATGGCAAGCCACGTTTCATCTTTTGTAAAAAATGTCATAGCAGAAGGTGTGCGTTTATGGCTTGCAGAGCCTAAATTGACTTGTCTGTGAGTCTCTGGGCACTAACTGCAGCTGGCACTGCTCAGTTGCACTGCTGCTCACAGCCAAAATCATGCCACCAGCTGCAGAGCTAGGCCTACGGTTCACTTCTCAAAGTAACAGTAATTGTCTCATCACTTTAGTCACATTCCACTGCATTTTTCAGGGACTATTATTGCTGGAATAAAGCCAAACTTTGTGTTGTGCATAGGTGGCTAGGTGACTTGAATACCCACAACCTACGTGGAGCCTAAGGTAAGGCTCGCTGAAGTCAGCAGTTAGCTTTCATTATGGGAGCAAGCAATTCCCTCCAGCTCTTCTGGGTGCCAGATGCAGCCTCAGCCCCAGGCATGTGTCTGGCAACAAAATGCTGCCTCGTGCTGTTCTGTAAGAGCTGAAGGGATGGTCAAGGACACCCGGCTTCTTATTCTTCCACCTGAGATTAATTTTTTCCCTTCAGGCTCTCTCACAGCCACCCAGGGAAACACATTACAGAAGAGAGCTATATGATTTGCATAAACTCTTAGACAAACAGCAAAAATTCCAAGAAACCTAGCACAAAGATAGGCAAGACACCCAGCCATTCATTCAGAGTATGGGTATTTTTTTTTTTTTTAAGTTGAGAGTTATCTGCATTTGAAGTAACCTAAAATTATCACTTCTAGTTGCCAACTTTCAGCAACCACTGAAGAACTGAACAACAATTTCTAGCCTAATTCTTGTGGTTTTGTGTTTTCCTGCTTGGAAACTCGATTTTGCTGTAGTTCCCGAGATGGTGCTTGCTTTGGAGGGACAAAGCACAATGACAGCCCTGGAAAGAAATCCTATAAGCCCTGTCCAGAGCTCAAGGCCACATCACCCGCTGGAGGCCTAATACAAAGATCTGCCACCCAGCTCTAGCCCAGGCTGAGAGCACTATGATACAGCTGCTGCTAGGGCTTCCAATATGAAAGTTAAGCTGAAGAAAAATGGTGCAGCAGTAACCTTAGGCATATCCTTAACAATTGTTCTAACTCAAAGGAAATAGGAATGCTTTGAAGTTTAACCTCCACTTACAGCTTTCCCTAGTATGCAAGCCAAAAAGAGCTTTTTCCAGGTTTGGGTGTCCCCACACACCCCTTTCTCTCCATGCTTCCCTACAAATGCAGGGCTGACGTGCAGGATTTTCCCCTGCTTTAACAGTACAGCTTTGGTGATTTAACAAAGACTTTGCTGTACAAGTTCAACTTTGTAACAAACATTAAATACATAGTATGATTGCTTACTAGTAAAACCTTCTCCCCCCACAAACATACAATATGTCTTACTCTTTATTAAGTATCAAATTGTCTCCAACATAAATTACATCCAAATTACATTAAGTTTCAAGAAAGTCAGATAGTTTATGTACAATATTTGTCTTGAGTCAGGTAATACCTTTATCGTTTTAACCTATAACATAAAAAGCAAACCTATATCAGTACCAAATAAAGCATTAAAAAGGTAACAAATATATAACTTCTTAGAAATGCTTTGAGAATGCTAAAGTTAATGACAAAGATTTTATAGTGCATTGTTTTTCTCCCTCTTTAGACCATTTCTCTGTTTTTGCGGATAGCACAGCAAAGAATCATGCTGAATATCATGCCGAATATCTGCAAAGAGAGCAAACTCATTAGGAATCAGAGATTGAACACATAATCTCCTACCACCATGAGGAAAAGTAACTGTTCTTTCTGACCCAACAGCCATACAATATTTTATTCTGAAGTTTGTCTTCCCAATTCTCCCCACACCCTCCCAAAACAACAAAAATTTACCCTACATTCTCCTCAACTTACAACATCTCAGTGCTCAAAAACAAATCAGCTAGATATCACTCAGTCTCCCAAGAAAGCTTTGGTCTTCCTTGTATATTTTCATCAATGTCACTCTATAGCTCCATCTGCTCTCCAGGGCAGCCAATAAACTAGAAGAAGGTTTCCTGCCAGCATTTAATTTTTCAAGGAGCCTTTAATTATTTTAAGAATAAATAAAGACAAGGATCCCTGAGACATACTGCAATTAAGAAGTAGACAGATAACACAGCCGGTATATCTTAGCCCTACATCTACTTTCAATATAGCTTAACCATTGTTAAAATTACAGGGAGTCAGATCCCGATTCAAATCAAGAACAGGGAGGAACAACATGCACCACGCTGTTCTGCCTTGGCTTTTTACCAGTGGAGTGCTATGTTGAATGCAGCATTGGCACTGAGCATGGATCTACACTCTCACCCTTGGCAGTACAACTACTGTCCAAATCATCTGAAAACTCACCATTATTACAGCAATGCCAAGGCCAACTGCTCCAATCACGTTCAATTTGGAATTAAAGACATCATCGATGGCATCAGGGCATGACTGAAAAGAAACAGACTACTCATTAGCATTTGGGATGATGTATTTGGGCTTGCTCGTTTGAGCTCAACTCTGAAAACTGATAATACACCTCTGATTAATTCTGTCTGTAGGACACATTCACCATTTGAAAGTTTTTTGAACTGACCTTTATGTTCACATCTTTAAAATGACATAGAAGAGTTATTTATCAGTTTAATCTGTATTGTAAGTTTAAATCTATTCTTTAATATTAAGCCTTTTGCTAGCAGAGATGCTTAGTGGCCAAGAAAATAACCAGGAACTTATACTGAGGCATGTAAATCTTTAAGAACTTAGTGGATGGTCAAATCCAATCTCAACTCCTGTCCTATGTATTCCACAATCAGACCACTATAAATTGCTTCTGTCTGCTTTCTTCTTTATTTACTCCTTAACCAGTCCACAAGGAGAGACCAAACCTGATATTATGGAGGAAATGGATGAATTTAATTAGAATATTAATACAGTAGTACTACCTACCAAAGCTTATAGATCAGTCACATCATAATATCTTTTTAATCCTTCCTGGTTTGGACTAGGGCAAACACTTTGCAAGATAAAGTCAAAGTAAGTTAAAAAAAGAAAACAAAACAAAAAAAAAACAAAAAAACTCCAAAAAACCCCACTCCAAAACAACAATAGAAAACCCACAAACATGAAAAAAAATTCAGTGGAATCTGTATGTTGCCACAATTATTTTCATGCAGTCCAACTGACAGCAGATTACATGGTTAGGATTAAATATACTGATTGTCATTTTTCACTTAGTTAAGTAAGATTAAAAGGCACAAAGTCATCTGCAGTGATATTAATTATATAAATAATTATTTAAATTTCATATCTTTGAAACTCTACACTATAGTTTTAATTTTTATGTCAGTCACAGAACATGACACATAAATAGCCAATAAACAGATATCACGAAAACAGATTTAAAAAAAGGAGAAAAATACTGAACAATCCACAAAAACAAGCAAAAAACCCCAGCCCTCTCTTGGAACATCAAATGAGGGCAGAAAACAGCAGCAAGAGCTACAGGAAGAGAAGAGTGAAGAACTGTATAGTGTCCCTTGTATTCGTGGCATACAGGCACTTTAATGGCACTATTTCAACAGGAAGAATCAAAGTTAGGACACTGGCTTCACAGTAAGTTCCCTAAAAAAAGGCCACCATTTTCTCACCTCTCTCCTTTTCAGAAGGATATACTGCGCTATAAATTCAGATCTATTGCATCCACCATGTGCTCAATCTCCCTGTAACCAAGGAGGCAGTGAGGGCACAGCACCATGGAAGGCAACTGGTGACAGAAGCACAGCAGTAAGAACTTAGCTCTTTGGTGTTTTAGGTGAAGGTTTGGCCTTAGAAAAGTCTTATTCCATCCAATTTAACAGCACACTCTCTATGCAAATTCAGTGCCCTGGTTTCCCGTTAATCCACAGTAACAATACGGAAATTCCCCACTACTGGGCTGATCATCCAGACAGGTTGCCAAGTACTGTAATGGAAGAATTCTCCCTACACTGTGAGGGTAAATTCAGAAGCATGTTTTTCACTCTGCTATTCTGTATATAGATATCGGGCAGAACTTTCATTGAATTACTGAATTTACCTTTACAGCAATTGACTCAAGAAAGCTCTTCTTGGGACAGGTGTCCATGAACTGCTGCTCAAGACCTCCTGTAACACCACAACAGTTCAGCTACGGGAAAAAACAAAATCAGGTTAAAATAAACAAATACTCCCCACACACTGTACCCATATTTGTTTGGAAATACCACCAATTGGATCGCTATAGAACTAAATTTTAGAAAGCATTTATTGCACTGAAGGACAAGATTCTGAACGAGACAGATCTCATGTAATGGTTTAGGTCACAGCTGTGCTCTTCATAAATGCAAAAACGGACTCCTCACACAAGCTATGCATAGATGGTGCCTCTAGATCAAAGCCACAAACATTCTTAAGTACGTTTAGGGGAGTGGAGGATAAAAAACACTCTAAACTCTTCAAAGGTTCAAAAGGGACAAATTGCTATTCTGAGTTCACTAATGCTGTAAAAATAAAACAAATAATAATCAAAGAGAAAAGCTTACCCTTCACGTTGTTCCTAAATTTGATTTCTTACAGTTAGTAAGGTTCTAGGTTTGTGCAGGGGACAGGGTGTCCAAGAGCAATATGAACAAACTCCATCACTTTCCAGTTCAAGAACCAAACAGAACATCATACTTACAGCTAGCTGAAATGCTTTCAGTGTTTCCCTGGCAGCTACTTGAGACCTTTTTGCATAGGTTTCCATGTAGAAATCTTTTAGCTCTTCAATAACCTACAAGGTAACAGAGAATTAACTTCTATTTTTCTTTTACTTTAATTAATATTACTTATGGAAAGCTTGTTTAGGATGAGTCATCATTGCAACCTACAATACCCATTCTTTGGTAAAGAGAAAAAGAGGGTGGAAATACAGGGTGTATAGTACTTCTTATCTGGAACAGGGGAGCTTAACAGATATACTCACCTTAAAAGACACACCTGAACAGATAAGAATTCCCCCTCCCACTTTACTGCTTTTAGAAGGAATTAGGAAGCTAGGAATTAGGAAGTCTGCCCACTGGTTACAAAAAAGTAATTCCTACTTATTTTTATACCTCAACAATAGTCATATTCCTCTGCTACATGCAAAATGAACAAGAAAGATCAGAATATATCCATTAAGTAGCATACTATTTTTAAACAGGATCACTTGTCTTGACTGCTAAGAAAAAATAAAAAAACAACATGCTAAGAAAAAATAAAAAACCAACATCCTCCCACCCCCAACCATTTACTGTCAGTCTTTTGAAATTTCATGGCAACAAAAAAAATATTTGGAAAGTGTCCATGTTAACAACTGAGAGGTAGAAAATGTGGACTTAAATCCCAGAAGTGATTAGGCTTGTGAGCAGATAGCACAGATCAGCTGCATTTTAGATGTGAAAACATTCAGCCTGCAGCTGTGTCAACTAGCTCAAAACTGCTAACAGAAAAGCCTCACCCAATGGCCTGCCTTACTTTATAGCTCAGGCAGATACTGCCTGGGAGTGGTCTCTATAGGCAAAAGCATTCTGTATCCTGCCCCAGCTATAGTCTCATTTCATCTGCTTAAAGCTTGCTTTTCTTTCTTCCTTTTTTTGCATTATTTGGCTTGAATGTATCTTCTTACCCTTCCCTAAAATTATCTGGATATTAAAGATTTTACTAGTATTGGGAGAGTTTCCAGCAGGCTGCTAAGTTTTCGTAGGCATACAGTCCTGCTGACTTTAATAAAAAGCACATAAAGTCCAGAGTAAAAGAAAAAAAATTGCATTGCATTTTAAGATCTGCAGCTTTGGGAAGAATTTAGTGTTTTAAAGCTAGGACACATAAATTAGTAAAGGTCTTTTGTGGAAGAAGGACATTCAGCTATTTTGGATACCTGAGACCAGAAGGTTTTTAAATTATTATTTTTATTAAAGCAACCTACCTTTTCCTTATTTGCAAATCCCCAGATTGCAGCAGCGATTTCAAGGGCAAAAATCACGAAGAGGAAGAGAAAGAACTAGAAGATAAAGACCACACTATTAATTACAAAGCTCCATACAACAGCAGCAGACACACTGTAAATTTGTCAAATTCCCAGCTTTTAGCATTCTGGGAACCATCATGCAGGCAAGTTTCAGGCAAAGATCTGAAAAGTGGGCAAAAATAAGGAAACAGTGCATGCTGCACTGGGTCAGCACTTCCTTCTGGAAGCATCAGAAAGCCTGGATAATGTTTTCCAAGCAGAAGTCCTCCTTTTTGATCAGTGTTAATTAAAGCCAATCATCTGTTACCGAAGGCTTTGAAGCTGACCACAAGAGTAACTTGTTCTTTCCTCACATTTGTCACCCCTGTTACTCTAGGGTCTATTACTCAATCCCTAGCACACCACCAACTCCCTCAGAACTAATAGCAACTTCTCTGTTTTGTTTCCTGCAAAACAGAAATACAAGTGTCATCTATATGTTTAGCTGACTATCAAACCACTACCATTAAAGGCATTTTAAAGGGAGAGAGTCAGAACTCTAACAAGGAGTCAAAGGAAGCGTTTTGCAAGAATCATGTGAAATTACTTTCTTCCACAACAGGAGGGGAATTACTCTTCAACCGGTTCCTGCAGCAGTTTGTTATTAACCAAGACTCCTAGTTATTTGGATGAGTAGCTCCATCAGATTCGAGCAGATGCAACAAACTGCATGAGCCCCTCAGCTCTGCAGGCAAGGTGGGTGCTCCCTCACAATGAACTTGGAGAGCAGTTGTCAGCTGGAAGAGCCCACCCTGCGACCAGCAACACTAGAAGCTTGTTGTCTCAAACATGAAATACCACAGTTGTAGTCTCACTTAAATCAAGGACAAAATTCAACTGTCTCTACTAAATTTTTCAAAATTGCATTCAGAATTCAGGAAGTATTAAATCAGTACCGTTCATTTAGTCTCATCAGTTTGTCAATTATCATTTGTCTTATCAACATTCTAATCCTGCCAGGCTTGTACTTAAATGTCTCAGTCTGTCACTAAATCTTAAGAGTTTGTATGTGTTCGAATACAACATACTTATTTGGACTCAATATCACAAATGGAAATTAAGCTTCATCATTTAGGGTTTTTTTTCTCCCCTCCTCATTATGTAAGTTATAGAGCTAAAAATATCAGTATCTGCCATCCTTTAAATATAAAAACAAACAAACAAAAAAAACCCCAACCCCACGCACACCCCTCAGAACATTGAATACTTACCAGGCCAAGCATACATTGTGATTCCTGCAGTGCACCACAGCATCCCAAGAAACCAACTAACATCATGAGTGCACCAGCTCCAATTAGAATGTAAACTCCTAGTGAAGAAGGGAAAACCGTAAGGTATAAAAATTAGTTGCTCCATAAGTTTTTGACTTTTGTCAAAGTTTGTTTGATTTTGAAAGTAAGTGCATCTCAAAACTTGCAGGAAGAATAATCGATAAAAACTTGAAGTTATAACAGATAACATGCATACACTTCATGCAGTTTTGCAAATTCTATAAAACAGGCAAGATATATATAGGTATCTTTGAGCTAGATCAAGGCAAACTTTCAGAAGTGGGTCACAGCCAAATTTACAATCTAGTTTAAAATGAATGTATTACAGTTAGACACCCAAAAAAAATTATTTATCAATATATAAGGATCCTTGAAATGCACAAATATCAAGAGAATGTATCTTAAGAGGTATCACAATCACCTGTCATAAAGCTTTGAGTGCTTTTGCCCTTTATTTTCCATAAGGAAATACCACATTATTCCATCAAACCTTGTAATACAAGGCTATACTTGAGCTCCTAAATTGACAACTTTTCAAATACAAGAAATCCAAAACCCAGATTGTGCTGCCCATAGTATATAGTGGGGGTGTAGTGGAGAGCAGATTCTGGACTAGAAGGCTATTTAAGCTCAAACCTCTCCTCCACACCTTGAGCACTACCAGTTTAGGAATGACATCTGCTCAAATGTTAGCCAGCAAGAGGTAGCTAGGAAAAGGCAAGTCCCAAGGATAACAAGCAAGTTTTATTGGCGTGGTGAAACGGGAGGCAAAGAACTTGAGACAGAAACTGTCAGCAAAAAGTGCACAGAAATGCTGAGCTAGTTCCATCACTATAAGACAACAGAGATTGAAGTCTGGCTTTGGGAGAGTCCCAAATTAATACTCGAGGAAAACCATACATAAGCAATAACATATGCCATTCTCTAGATGTGAATATTAACTGTCAAAACAAACATGCAGTTAATTAAGTATATGCAAGTGATTAAGCCTTGACACTTCTTATCAGCAGGAAATTGCAGCATTTTTTTAAAACTCATCTTAGGTTTATTTCCATTTTAAAATAAGAGTTCACTAGAATTCCTTAAACTAGTAAATAATAAAAAAAAAAAGTAGTACAGAAAGCTTTTGGTGTGCCTTGTTTCATATTTAGGTATAAATGAATAGATTTTGTTATATAGCTTCCTATTCAGAGTTAGTTCTCCCATAAAAGCATTTTGTGATGTCAAGCCAGTAATTCAGTAATTCCAGTTAAATTCCGGTTAAATATTTCTCTAAAAACAAACCTCAAACTTCTCCAGATGAACTTTCTTTATTTATATTGCTGCATTCAGCAAGCAGATTAAGTATCAAGTCACAGAACTTTTGTATCTTTTAGGAAGTGAAAGTGTCTCAGACTATTCAAATGAGGTTTGCTAAACAGTTAGCTCATTTGCTAAATTGAGGTTTTTTGTTCTCCTTTCAGAGTCCAGACAGAAGTATCTGGATATTTCCGTGCCTGTGAGAACCCAGTTTACTATCATGTGATACACACAACATGTTGAACAAGCTTCCCTGTGGATAGGAGGTCTGCATGCAGAGGCACAAGTACCTCAGTCTTCACAATCACAGCCTCCAGCAAGCCCATCTTGTTCTTTCTAACACTATTTCCTGCCAGCGAAAGCCACTTAAGGTGCCCAAGTGCTGCTATACAAGCACTCCTACCAGCTCCTACCAGCATGCCCCACCAGTCTCTGCTTTCCCTTCGTACACCCACTAGGATGTCAGGACAGTTTAAGCAACTCACGACAAGGGATTAATTTTCATAGCAAACAAGAGACAAGTTTAACTATGCTGCAGGCAGCTAACAAATCATGTAGCACACAGGACACGGCAAATTCAAGAATTGCAACGATGCAACATGTGCACAAGTAATGATTTCCTAAAAATCTAAGATGAAAAACAAATACATGATAAAGACACACATTTGGATTTGGCTTTATTTTTGATCATTAGAAACATTATTTAAGGTCAGCTACTTGGTTTCAAAAAAAGAACTGAGCATCTGCAGATGATAATGACTAGATGAGGTTATATTCCTCTGTCCAAGTGGTTAGAGGAACTCTCGCCTGTTATATTTTGATCTAATTGCATCAGACTTACGCTCAGATGTTCAAAGTAAAAATATGCATGGTTTTTGTCTGATTATAAGCCCAGTCAAGCTATCCCAGGCCTTGCCTATGGAAAGTCCAGACTATGATCTTAAAGATCACTAAACTGAGGAATAACTTCTATATAACTTAACTAAAGTTAAACTGATCTAGGCTGCCTATAGTAGTGCTTAGAGAGACTAAAGTATTGTGCACTATTTTCAGTATTTCTAGTATAAAATAACGTAGGTTGGGGCTATAAGAAAGAGAATATAGTACATATGTCACGAGAAGATACAGAGTTTGTATAACTTAAGCTAGTCATTTTGGAGAAAATAGTTCTTGATAGTCATTTATTTATTTTAGAGAGAAACCAGTATCTGCGAGGATGGTTCAGGAAGCCTCGTGCACCCTGTTTACCAAGGGTCCTGAGGGTAACAAAACACTTACCAATAGCCTTTCCAAGGAAGGCTATCCCAAAAGATCATTTGATACTGTTTCTGTTAGCCCTGGTGCTCAAAACATGGGCTGCCTCACTGTACTGGCCAAAGCAGGTTGCTCCCTGCCTTCTGCTCAGCAAAGACTATCCAGGGCATTTAGTCCACAGGAAGGCGAGTGCTGACAAGCAGCAAAGAAGCCAAAGCACCACCCACGGCCTGGTGCGCCTCAATCCCCGCTCACCTGTATAGAACGTCGTGTTGTTGGACTCCAAATCAAAGATGCTTTTGGTCTGGGAATCGAACCGAAGCCATAGTCCAATCGCAAGAACTGCTGTTCCTGCGAGCTGCAAGGACAAGCAAACCTCATTAAAAAAACAGGCAATTAATACCACTGCACATTAACAGCCTCACAAGTAGTGACAGGAAACAGGTCTGCTATTTAAAGAAGTGGTGACAGACAGCAAATCAGCATAAAAGGAGAGGGATACTAAAACAAGAACAAACTTAATTCTGGGCATAATGCATCTTGTTAAAAGATCAATTTACAGATTAGGCAATGGCATATGTGGACAATGTCATTCCTATCTTTACCAAAAATACCCCAGATTTATATAACTGCCCAAATGCCTGTATTTTCCACTGACTCCTCCACTCATTGTTTTAGCCTGAATGATTGCAACAATGTCACGTGGTTTAGTCTCATGTCTTCATACTGAAAAATGTAAGGAAAAAGTGTATTACTAGGTATTGTATGGCTAGCTTGAAGTTTTAGAGCATTAAACATACTAACAAGAGTTCAGGTACTTAATACAGCATACAGAGTTACAAAACAGGATACACCAACAGGATAAGTTATCACACCAACGGGATGCAGAAAAATACAGGCAGCCGAAATAACCTGATCTAAGGAAAAAAAAAAAAGTCAAATTTTAGATTATATTTAGCTTTACTGTTTTATTGACTCTCCCTATACGCCTTGAGAATCCTTTAAAGACAGAGGCCTGAGTTTGTGGCAAGTCATTACTCAATATGACTAGCTTCTGAATGAAACTTCTGTCGGGAGGTACCAATGAAATGTTTCAAGAAAGATGAAACATCACTCTTGTATGGCAAATGTTTGCTTTGAGCCGACACTAAGAAGCCTGATTCTCCCCATTTAAGGAACACAAGAAAAGCTCAAAAAAAAAAAAGACAGAAATACCATGTATATAGCAACAGACATTACAATTATAATAGTAATAAAAGACTGATGGGAGAGAAAAAAGCAATAAGCTTAAAGCTTAGAAAATATGGAGCTTCGGTTTGGCTAAAAATGCATGGAAAGAAAAAAAAATACCACCTTATGTTTGAGAAGGAGAGGTTCCTTCTAGAAGGGTGCAGCATTCTTGATTTGTCTCCAAGAAACAGGAAAGTATTTATTTTAAAAAGCCAGTTTTTAGTAAGAATATGGAAAGAATTCTCTGAGAATACATGTCTAAGTGCACACTTTAGGCATCAACTTGATTCCTCTGGCTCCTCTGTTCCCCAGGGAAGCACAGGAGCCCTTTCCCTGTGTTACAAGAATGTTTGCATTTACCAAAGGAGGGGAGCATATGTTGTTACTATGGACATATTCTTTAACTCACTAGCCTTGCTCTGCAAAAATAAAGAGAGTTGGAAGACAAAGATAGGATGAAGGGATGTGGGAGGTTAAGGCAAGATAGGCCTTGTGGCTTCTCAGAAAGTATCTTAAAATGCTATAAACAACTCGGCTATCAGCAAGGAAAAGCATGTGGGCAAATTCACGCAAGCAGCCAGCTATGCCTGAGAAACCAGTATTACTGGTATAACGAGCACCTGGTCTCCAAGCCCAACTCAAAGAGAGGCTGCAGGGTTTTCACTGGCAAAAAGATGAAGTGATGCATAATGCATGAAAGCCAAACCCAAACAGATTTCCAGACCTATGCAAAGGATTATTAGTGTCATGTGCACATAGGCACAGGCTTACTCACAAAGCACAGAGCAAGAACAAAGCCTGTACATACCTACAGCTATCCTTGTCAGAACCATGCTGGAAAAATAACTTTTGCTGAAGCAGCCTGATGTAGCACAACACATGTTGTAACAGTATATTACATTCAATTTACTGTGCTGCAGCTGCACCCAAGGGGAAGAGACAGGTATAGGAAGGCCTGAGGCAGAAGGAAGAGCTGCTGCTCTATCTAGCAGACATTGGTACGGCACCACAAGACGTGGAACGGCTTGGTTTTGGGGAGGTAGGGACAGAATTTACAGAGATTAAGCTTCTTTCTAGCTTATACTCAAATCAACCAATATTTAAAACTCTCCTATAGCCCGAGTTTCCAATATCATGGACCTGCCTCCAGCTTTTTTAAGCTTCCCAGTCATGAGGAGAAAGAGACTACTGCTTTTCATTTAGTTAAAATTTCTGTATCTGTATCCTTGGCTGTATATGGCTACCTATTTCTTTAGTTTGACAAGCTTCAATGTTTTTGATCAGCGAGCTCAAAACTCAGACTTAAGAGTTTCTTCCCTATGAGACCTTTAAAGGCCATACTACTAAAATTTCTGAAGAAGTTCCAATCTATGGAACAAAATGTGTCTACAAAATGTCTACAGAACAATGATCATCTTGCAAATACAAGCAATGGATAAAGTTCTGTTAACCTTTTTCTTTTTTTAAAGAAAAAAGAAACTCGATCTTGTTAGATATTGCTTGGAAGAGCTGACATACCTAATACAAGTCTTTTTGATATGGAAGTTAATAAAACAAAGACTCACCATACATCTTTCTACAGGCAAAAGAGGGTTCAGGTTCACTACCATCACCACTAACACCCAGGCAGCTTGGCAGCATAAACACTAGTGCAAAAATAAGACCTCTTTCTAGGTGATACTTTTATACAATAGATATTTTTTTTCTTTCCCTATTCAACAAACCAGTGTTATGCTTAATCAGAGTCAAGTAATAATAGGTATTCTAAAGCAGATGTACCCATAAGAAAAAAAGGAATCAGAGACAGTTTTACCCCTTTTCTGAAGCCAGTCTGTCACTTAGCTTTTATGTGTGAAAACCTACTAAATCACAGGTTCACAGACCTTTATGCTAGGTTAAAAAAAAAAAGTGCTGCTGTAGAAACAAATATTAGAAATAAATATAGGCAAGAGAACTGAAAACTCAGGTCTGTTAAAATCAGCATGCCCAAAGTTTGAAGCTGAGGTGATATTACTCATTATCTCTGGAGGAAAATTGAAAAAAAAAAAAAATCTGTCCCACTTAGAGAACAGCATAACCCCATAGCATCTAAGCAATGGAAAGCCTGAGCAGAAAGCTTCAGCTTCTCTACTTTTTCTCTAGATTTCACTAAACATTGGTAAGTATCTCAAAGCTCCCAGCTTATTTCTGTTTGACTGGTGTTAATTCTATAGCTGCAGTAGGAAGGATTTTTCATCTTGTTCAGAGCATAACATACTTCAGTCCTATGCAAGCTTCTTGTCATTTCTTTATATCACATGCAAGCTCCCCTCTATTGACTCAGGGGAGTTACCTCTGCACATGCCCGTCCATAGAGGAAAACAGACTTGCTTGGTCCTCATCCCTACCTCATCCAGCTCTCACCTTCACTGTGAATCCTTCTGCACAGGACTTCTGTTCCCATCCCTGTGAGCCTTGCTCTAACTAATGTCTTTTCAGAACTTTTCCTTGAGCAGAAGATACACACAATCCTCTTCCTTCCTTCTTGCCAGAATACTTAAAGTATACTTGTTAAAGTATAAAGTATACTTAACTATACTTTAGGTATAAACTTTAAACATTCAGTCACTGAGGACACTATCAAGCTATTTCCATTGCATTTATTAAGGTTTCACAGATGCAGTGAAACAGGAAACTTTCACAGGGAGTCACTAGATTTAGTGATATTGCATACGTGTTTACATTAAAAATGAAGCAAAACAAACAAAAAAAGAACTACTGATTTCTACCTTGTATAGATCAGGAACCTTATATCTTATTAGCATACTCCATGAAAATGAAATATTTGACATGACTTTAAGAAGGGGGAAAGTTATTTTTGAGTTTAAATGCTAATCACTATTTAAAATGCTGAGACACTCTCTGAACTTCTGTGCAGGAGGCCTGGACAGCGGCAGCACCTCACTTGCTGCCAACACTTCACACCTTTCCATTGAGAGAACCTCCAATTGAGAGATCAAGTATTTGGCAGGTCCTTGAAGGAAGCTAGTAGGGCTCAGAGATGGTGACCTCCAGGAAGTAGGGACTGGGTACTTACCAGCCCTTCCTCAATGTGAGGGCAAGGAGAGAGAAGAAACAAGAGGAGCTGTCACAAGAACTCTTGACACATACACTAATGCCTGTGAAAAACCTTGCACTGAAAGCTCTACAAGTCCTAACATTTAGGTGCATTCAGGCCCAACATACATACCATTTATATTAAGTCTGTGAAGTTAACTCAAAGAGAACGTAAGTTAGCATGTGGAAACATGTTTGAATTGGTGGGAGAAAAAACAGACAAAGAAACAGAAAACAAACCAACCAGCCAAAATGCTACACAATTTCAGTGCAGTTTAATACTGCATTCTTCTTTTTTGGGTGGTGGTGTACGCCTTCCCGAGCTCGGCATGACCATTCCTCGTGTCTGTTTTACTCTGTGCATACCAAGAGCACACAGAAAAAGCTGGCATCCTCTTCATCTCATAGTGAGGCAAGAGCCTCAGCAGAACGCTTGACTCAGACCTTCCACTGCATAAAGCTGACAATAAACTTTCCTCACAGTGTATAAGCAAAGCCACCCTCTCCAACCCTACAAAAACAAAACAAAACAGAAAAACAACAACAACAACAACAGCAACAAAAACACAGTGAAAAGCACACAGGCAAAAGAAAACAGGGCATTTGAAACTGTCTGTCCTGCTACGACTTTTTTTTTTTTTTTTTTTAAAGTCTGTAAACAGTAAGCTGTGTGCTTACTGTGCTACAGCTGAGGCTTAACATCACCTCTTAAGTGATTTTTTTTTTTCCTATTACAGCATTAGTTATTATCAGCTATAGACGTTTTCCATTAGGGAAGTTTTGCTTTGTTTTTTACTCTTTTTTTTTTTTCCTTTTAAAGAAACCTGATGTGTAGTAAGTATAAGAAGCTGCAACTTCTTATCCTTCAAAGAGTAGATTGGATTTTTTTTCCTGCTTAAGCTAGTTTCAAAAATGTTGTGGGCTAAGTTAATGTCATAGCATTTATAACCTAAGTTAAGGTCATAGCTAAGTATATATCACAGCACATACTGGTGTTCCAGTACAGTAGGAACAGCATTACAGGGAATTCCT